CAGAGATAAAACATTTTAAAGTAAACGTTTAGAACTGTTTAAGTGATGAATGTGAAAAGGTTTTGGACAGTGAGCAGCTTGCTCTTTAAACATGTGAGCCACAAGCAGCAGGTGGACCATTCAAATGGAACATATAATACATTTAACAGACATCTCTTGGACACTTGCATGAGTGTTTTCTATTTTGATCAACCTACTACTGTATGTGGCTTCAGTGTAATGCTGATGTTGCTCATGTTTGCTTGGATTTGTGTTGGCTCCTTCAACCCCCTTAGCTGAACCTGCCTGAATATATCATGTCTGTGTTGTTCTTGAGATCATTAGTTACGTTACATTTTCTGTAAATAACTGCTGTTGACATGACTTGTGTGCTTGCCAGCTGCTAGTGCCTCAGGCTAGTTGGTAAAGACCCATACACTGGTTCAGTACACACAAGGAAATGCACATACTTACAGCGGTTCATTACATGTTGTCTGTCTGCTTACACTGGTGTGACAGTAAAGATGCTGGATTGATTACAGTCACCGGTACATTTTCCTTGCAGGGATTTGTGAGTTCGTTTTGTTTGACTTCACGTCTGACAGCATGAATCGATTTGGTAAAATATTTACCCATTTGTGTCTTAGTTTGGACTTTTTTTTTACTGAATATTTTTGATATACAGTATTTTTGTTGTTTTAGCCTTTAGTAGTATATAGTAGAACTGAGGCAATGCTTTTTTCTGCACATGCAAAAGAACAGCAGGGGTTCTCAGACTTTTTGGGTTCATGGACCCCCTCATAACCCTCATGTTTATTAAATAATTTTCTTCAATTTGTCTCTTTAATGCAATGGAAATATTTGTGTAACATATATACTTAAAATGTGTTCTTTATTAATCTTAATACAATTTTTATACTTTTAAACATGGGGTATTTTTCATTCAAGACACACTTAATTAACAACATTTTTAATGTCAACTTCCAAAAATGACAGTTATGAGAATATGAACAGAATCAAAAACCACTTTATTCACTTAATGAACATAAATGTATCGCCACTTCTTCAAATTATTACAGAAAATGCTTTACATAAAACTGAACAGAATCACAACAGTAGTAGTCAGACCCAGTAGCAGGGCTTAATTTGTAAACTGATTGATGCTGGTACGCAAATAACGGGCGGGCCGGCAAGGGGGATGGAGAGTGGGGGTCCTCCCCCAGAAAATTTGTAATAATGTAGATGTGATTTCCTGCATTTTGGTGTAATTTAACAGGTTGTTAACATCTATGTGCTTGTAAAAAAAAAAGAAAAAGAAATTTTTTTTTTTTTTTTTTGGCGGACCCCCAAGCACCGGCTCGTGGACCCCCAGGGGTCCAGAGACCCCAGTTTGAGAAGCACTGCTCTATCAGACACTTTATGTCTGACTGCATCTCTTGAATGGATTCACCAAATGTTCTGATCAGCATACTGAGTCATATGTTCTGTGGGCATAATATTTTTTATTTTCTCACAGAACAAGATAATCTGGATTAGATAACTTTATTTTACTGATAAAATTGTATTAGATGTAGACTCTTGCTTTCAAACAAGTGTTAAAACTCATTTTTAATAGACCAGAGATTATTTTATTTTTATTTTTGTTGTTCACTTTACAGTTCTGGTAATTTTCACAATTGTAGCAATAGCATTTCACCTTAAAAACCCTTTGCATCAAGGATCATTCTCCTTGCTGCGTTGCCATGTTGCATGTTTCTGTACTTTGTAGTTCAGAAAGAACAAACCAAATGCTTGAATGATGTAAAGAAAAATTCAAAAACATGAAAATCCTAAATGTATTCATGAGGAGATTAGTGTCAGTTGTTTAGGCAGCTCATTTCACTTTGTATGTGTTTTTGAATAGTGATGAACTGCAATTTATGTTGAAAAAGCCTGAGTTGCAGTTTATTTGATGCCTTGTCTGCTCCCTCTGTCAGCAGTTTAGTCTAGATGAACCATTAAAGACAAGCCACCGACATGGAAAGGCCATCTGGGGCCACTTTAAACCAATAGAACAGAGCAAGTTAGAGGGCCTTCCATCAATTACAATGATATTAGTGTAATTGTAATGAAATAATTGCATTCAGAAGACAGCTGAGCCTCACCTCTGTAGATCTGCAACAGGCAAACAGCCCAGGAAAAACAAGCAACTAGGAGGGTCTTGTAACAACATTTGAGGTATGATTAAAAAGAAAATGTGATAGGTGGGGAATAATTATTGGATTGATTGAAGGCCTTGAAATATCTTGTAAAAACATTCTCTGTTTCGAAAGTTTTAATATAAAAAACAAGCTTTGCTGTACTGTTTTAGAGTACTTTCCTGTCTATTAATCTCTTTGACTATACAGTCAGCATAAACTGCTGTGACAAGCATATGCTGTTTTAAAAGACAAGTAGATTAGGCTCAACATAGATTTCTGATTCCTGAAGCAAATATGTTTCTTTCACCAGCATTTCCAACTTCATCTTTTTTGAGGTGGCACGGTGGATCAGTTGGTAACCTCTCAGTGAGAAGGTCACCGGTTTAAATCCCGGCTGGGCGCCTTTCTGGGTGGAGTTAGCATGTTCTCTCCGTGCACATGTGGGTTTTCCATGGGTATTCTGGTTTCCTCCCACAGACCAAAAACATGCATGTTAGACTGATTGGTAACTAAATTGTCCCTAGGTGTGAGTGAGTGAGTGAATGGTTGCTTGTCTTGTTTGTGTCTATTTGTCCCTGTGATGGACTGGAGACATGTCCAGGTTGTGCCCCGCCTCTCACACAGTGACTGCTGGATATGGACACCAGTGAACCCTGTGACCCAAAAAGGAAGAAGGAGGTAAAGATAATGGATGGATGGAAGTATCTTTTTTGGTAACTTCTACAGTAACTGATTAAAAAGAAAGTCCTGTTTGACCAAATATTTGTCTTTCATGCTAACAAAGACAAATTTGAGTTAAAATGTACAAAATAAATGGAGAGTTGAGAGTTTGTCTTGACACGATGTAAAGCACAATATTTATCACCCACCACCATAAAATGTGGGCTAACTTGTGCGCGTGCGCGCGCGCGCGCGCGCGCTTGTGTGTGTGCATGTGTGAGTGGGTGTGTTTGTTAGCTAAATGTCTCCATGAGACACTGAATAGATTTCACTGAAACTCTCAAAAAAGAAGCTTTACTTTTCATTCATTCATTCAACCTTTAATTAGACAGGTTAATCCCATTGAGCCTCAAGAACGCATTTACAAGAGAGACGTGAATTTACCAAAGAGTGATGACAACAGTGGACAACAAAGACAACAAAAGACAATCTTAAAGGATGCATACAAATTGAGATTTTTTTTTAACAAGTGAAAATAAAATGGTGTTTAAAAGAAAAAGTAACAACCGCAAAAAAACAGTTAGGTTGTAAGGCGGTGTCGAAAATTAAAGACAGGAATTTGTCTGCATTGGTTTTTACCACGAAATTAACAGATGTTTAAAGTCGCTCGAGAGCTTCAGGTCTTTTTGCAAGATATTCCAGGAAACAGCAGCGGAGTAGGAGAAGGCCCCTTTGCCTAGTTCAGTCTGCACTGAGAGAACACTGCAGGTAATAATGTCCTGAGAGCGCACGCTGTAGCTGCACTCACGCAGAGACATGTAGGAGGAGATGTATGAAGGCAGCAGACCAAGAAGTGATTTAAAGATGAAAATGTACCAGTGGGAGAATCTGCATGAAGTTAATGATGACCAGTTAACCAGTAAATACAGGGTGCAGTGGTAGGTATGATAGTTACAACCAGTTATGAATCTTAGTGCACCATGATAGACAGCATCCAACATCTGCAGGGTGCTTGTAGGAGCGTTCATGTAAATAAGATCACCGTAATCAATGGAGGGAAGGAAAGTCGCAGTTATAAAGTATTTCCTAGCATTCAGAATTAGACTGGATGTGTTTCTGAAAAAGAAACCCAATTTAACTTTCAGTTTCTTTACTAGCTTTTCCACGTGGAGCTTAAAAGAGAGATGCAAATTGACCAAGATACCCAAACATGTGTAGGAATCGACAAACACAATAGGGACACCAGTCGAGGACAAAATCAAAGGAAGACACGCTAGGACTGACTTCCTGTGTCATCAGCATAGAAATGTAAGGAAGCATCAGGGATACTCTGAACATTACCTATGTAGATTGTAAAGAGGGTGGGTCCTAGAACTGAACCTTGTGGTACACCATTGTTGACTGTTAAATAACTGGAGGAAGTACCATTATGTTGAACACATTGTCTCCGATCTGAAAGATGTTAGAGAACCAACCAATGGTGTGATCTGAAAAACTGAGAATTAGTTGTGTGTCTACAGCACATTAACTTTTGGTGAAAACAAATTCCAAAAACTCAAAGAATACTATATTACATAACAAAAAAGTTAGTAACTGATCAGTAAATATGTTTTCGTGCTTTGTCGTGCTTTCCTGTGATTGTTTTGCTTTATTGAATTATTTCTGACTAAACAAGGCAATGTTGCTCTGTTGTCTTTCAGTTTTGGGAAATGTGATTGTGTTTTCTAAAATGTCGTTGTGGTTTCTGCTCTGTTGATGTGTGATAAAACTCAAAACAATATCTTACTGTGGTTCATGGCATTTTCCTTAGCTTTAATAATAAGTAGGCATTATTGTTGAAGTGTTTACTCTGAACCACCTGCTTATTTATTCATAATGACAGATGTCCACCCTCTGAAATCGGTGCAGTGCAGCGACCCTACCCTATGCTGCAGCATTCTATTTAAAGGAAGAGGATGGGTAATACAGTGTATTGATAGAAAAGGTGACGACCGCCATGCAACAAGCACATTTCAAACTGTGGATATTAGGATCAACAGGAAATCTGCACAGTCTTGTTTAAATCAATAGCTGCAGAGGTCATGATGGTGCATGAACGTGGTGTGAAATTGTGTGTGCACATAAATGCAGCAACTTTCCCTTACTCATCAATATCTTCTCACCTCTCTGTCTTCCACCTAGATGGTGTATAAGCCCTGGCTGTGTTCTCAGTACTTCCAGACCACCCAGATGCACTGCAGCAAACGAATCCCCTGTGGCCAGTACTGCCTAGAGGTGCAGCAGAGGTGCCCCTTCGTCCTGCCTGACAATGATGATCTCATTCACGGAGGCAGCCCCAGTTTTATATGCACAGGTACGAAATATTCATCGTGTACGTCATTCTTGTTTCTTTTTATTGTAAAAGTTAGTACTGAGCATGCAACACTCAAAGACTCCTACACCAGTTGTTCATAAGCAGCAGGTCTTATGGGTTTTGCTGATTGAGGGGATAGAAGAACATTAATTTTCCCAAATCCTGGGATTCAGAGCTATGAGTAACAAGCTCCTTCTAACCCCTGCAGCTCTTACCTAGTTTTTTTTTCTGCCTCCCTTGCACTCAGTTTTAAGAACTTTAATGAGTAAGCACTTAAGCCCATGGCTCAGAGCTTGATGTGTAACTCAGTAATACTTCAGTGGGTTACTTAACCTCTGACAGACACAAAAAAACTTTACTGAGTTAACATTTACAGGTTGTTCTGTCAAATGAGGCCAACAAGGTCACACTATAACATTAAATATCTACCAGTTACACACAGCAACACTAGACTCTGCACAATGGAGCACAATGGTAGAAAATAAACCTTTCTTAATGACCAGAACACAATTTTTATTTACTTCTTATAATATTTGACATGCTGTTTCCCAGATTGTAAGAACCAAAGGGGAAAAAAATAAATACATTGCTTTTTACTATGACAAGACTTTTAGGCTGACTTGTTCCACACATGCACAATACTGGCTTAAACTGTAGAAATGATCATCAATTCAGCAAGGGTATAGTCCTAAAATATTACAAATGCACATTAAAGTTTGACAAAAAATACAACTAAGACAGTAAAAGAACACACATTATGTGACAATTATTGATAAAAGCAATTTTATTGCACAGCATTTTAAACATTACTGAAATCATTATCTCTATCTCAGAAACATTTTCAAGGCCTATTTGTCATGTTTATGCTGCCATCTAGTGGTCATATTGAGAATCAAAGAACTTTTTCCAGATCAATACACCCTTCATCCATTCTTTTTTTTTCTTTTTCTCAAACTTTTTCTTTTTGAGTTGTGGCTGTGGGCAGCTCGTGCCACTGGTCACTGTGCAAGAGTCCGGACACATCCTGGACAGGCCCAAGTCCATCACAGGCAACATGGAGACAAACGAGACAAACAACCATTCACACTCTCACTTTATGCTAGGGATCTTCTAGGGAACAACAAGCCTCCATGGGGCCCTAAGCGAAATTTGATTTGGGGCCCTCTAGTTCTGCTAATAATGTGAATTACTGCAATCAACAGTCAGATGACCAGATCATTCACCCACCTAACATGAACTCATTGCAACTCTGACAGCCCTGTTTCCATTATCCTATATGTATATGGCATCTTGTGCAGGGGTGTCAAACTCATTTTCATTTTGGGCCACAGCAAGCTCATGAATGTCCTCAAAAGACCAGACATGACAGAATGTATTGATAAAACTAACAAACTATTAAAATATAACTGTCTTTGCATTCAATGACTACTTCTAAAACTTAAATATTTTATGTTTGAGTAATTTGGCATTATAAACATAAAAACTGATTTGATTTGACTGATAAAGTGATATTGAAGCACACAACTGTCTTGAAGTTCTGTTTCTGTGGCCCTCTAGGGTGTAGAGAGCCATAGCAATGGATATGGTGGGCCGGATTTGGCCCACGGGCCTTGAATTTGACACATGCCATCTAATGGTACTAAAAAATAAAATAAATAAATAAATAAAAAACACCAGTATGCAATTATTTTACAGTAAAAGTGTCATCTGGTTTATTATCTAAGGTTCCAAAGAACTGCATCAATAATGTTCAAAATAATTTGTAGTGCAAATCAACAACAAAACAGATAAAATAACTTAGATGCATAAAAATAAATACAATTGTGCAAAAACAGACAAATTTAAATAAAATAAAAAATAAAATATCAAGGAAATACTTAAATAATATCAATGAACAATTACTTGAAACCACGTAAAATGGTTAAAAAAAGACATTTAAAGTTGAATAATTAGTTCTTAAAACTATGTAAATGTATGCAACAATTTGCAAAAGCTGAACTTAAAATATTAAACAACCTTTAAAAAAAAATCACAACTTTATACTGAAATTGTGTGTAATAGAATCAGTTAGAAATCATTACCCAAAAAAAATTTAAATAAATAAATTCCACTTTGGGGGGCCCCTGGTGGCCCTGGGGTCCTAAGCAGCCCCTTAGTTTGCTTATGCCTTGAGCGGGCCTGTACCCCCAGCATGCATGTTGTTGATGTATATGAAGTATCAGGAGAAAAACTAAGCTTGCAGGGGAAGAATGTGCAAACTGGTCACAGAAAGGCTCCAGGCAGGAGGCAAACCTGCAACTTTCTTGCTGTGAGGCGACAGCAGGAACAACTACATCACAATGTTATGTGACAAGAAATGTAACAAGTTGCCAGTTTAGGTTATATTTTAAATCAGCTGTTTTTACCAAGCTGTGTTGAAATGCAAATGAATTATTCCTACTTTGCTACTCACTGAATTGAAACAGATATGGTTGGCAGTGTTCTATATTTGTCCATCATCAGCCTGCACTTTTGTCTTACACATATGCTTAAAAGTTATATATTCCAAGAAAATAATAAATTTGACATAAGCTAGCCTTGAACACAAAATGTAATAGTGCTCATAATGCAGAAGAGTGCACATTGTGGTCTTTTTTGTCAAGCTGTTAGGAGTTCAGCATCTGAGTTTTATTTAAATTAATTTTAAAAATGGACATACATGTACTCATAATTCATTCAACCTTTATTTATACAGGTTAATCCCACTGAGCTTCAGAGACATTACAAGAGAGACCTGATTCTAACAAAGAGTGGTGACAACAATGAACAACAAAAACAATAATAGACAATCATAAAGGATGCATACAAATTGAGATTTTTTTTTAAACAAGTGAAAATAAAATGGTATTTAAAAAAATGCAACAAAAAAAAACCAGCTAGATAAAGTGATGAGCTGCAACTAGAGATGATTTTGATTTAAAAGTTAATATGTGTAATCAAAAATGTGCAGTAATATTATGTTTCTTAGTTAGTTTAATATTTGTAGTGAGTCACGTAGGTACGTGTCACTTGTTGTATGACAAATA